GCCTCCGGAATGGCCGGCACCTCCATGGCCTCCTGAAAGGCCGGCACCGCCATGGAGGCTTCCCGTCCTGTGTAGCTGCGCCTAACCAGCCTCCAGGGCACCCCTCCCACCCCTCTGGATGGTGTTTAGCATGAGGACGTGCTTTCCGGGAGGGGGGGGGGTTATGCCACCCTTTTAGTTGTTATGGATACCTTGTTTCTGTTTTTCCGTCTTCTGTTTTGTTTTAGTTCCTGTTATACACACACACACATGCTAAAACTACTGTAGTGAATAGGTGTTGCTCAAATTAACTTCTGCAATGACAAAAAAACAAAAACAGATTGGCTTACTCAATGCTGTCTAATGTTAAATGGCCAGAAAACTGCATGCATGTTTTTTACAATTAAAAAGCATTCAATCTGATATTTTAGATAATGATGAAAATTACTAATTGTGCCAGATTATAAACATTTTGGGATCTTCTTAGACCCACATCTGACAAATAAAAAAAAATTGTCAGTGCAGTGACTTCTAACATCAGAAACTTTAAATTTATACAGAATCAACTCTCTACAGATGCCACTAAAATCTACCTGCATTCACTGATTTTTATTTTTATTTTTTTCACTTTTCATTATGTATAACATCATGGTCACAAGGAGGAGAGAGTCACAAGTTTCGAAACTACATGAGGGTAAGTAAATAATGACAGAGCATTTATTTTTGGGAGAACTATTCCTCTACTGAACATGAAACAGGATGTCATTTAGCCTAAGCAAATATCTCACTACTCTTGCTCATTACAGTTATAGTGTGCAGTAGTTAGTTAAAGATCTTTACCTGTATTGTATTGTTTCTGATGTGGTTGAAGCCCTCAGTTTTGTCATTAAAATGCGCACAATGTTGAAAAGGAACACAAAATTTATCTATATCGGAGAGAAAGAAAAGAGATGTAGGTAAGTGATTGTGCATATTCTTGAAACAGTTTGATGTTTCTGTACATAATAAGCAGACATTTCAAGCTGTGGAGAGCTCATAAAGACACCATTGGGTTTTGCCCCTGCAGAATAGCTTACATTAAATACTGTTTATAATGCTTTTACATGAAAAAATAGATTCAACTTAACTAAGTTCAGTAATTCTCTTCAGTACTCTATCTGAAAACAGGAGACATTGTTCTGATATTAAAAGCTGATATTCTGGCAAGGTCTGGCTTACTATTTGCTGATGTTAATAATTCTTAAAAATCACATTGGTTATTACATTTACATTTTGGCCATCTCAGTCTTTGTAATGGTTTAAGAGTTCATTTTTGTTCTAATTCTTTCAAATTCTTCACACTGTTCCTCCACTTCTTGGAGGAATTGGCAACCATAAATCAGAGGTAAGCAATAATACAATAATACTTACAAGAAGAACTAAAATCACGGGCCCCTGATAAATGTAGTCTATGTACTTTCCAGGTTCCTTCCCAAACCAGCATCTGGAACACAGAGATTTTCTTGAGTGTGTTATCACGTCTCACAGCATATATACACTTCCACAATGAAATATATACTTTATTTTGTGAATATAATTAACAGTGGGTTGAACTGTATTTCAATCATTCTTGGGAGTAAGTTGGACCACTTACATCTACGTTACATCTAGATACATCTAACTTTTTCTTTAGTGTTGCAACTATAATACAAGTGAAGTACCTATAGTTTACTGTTTATATATTTTATATTTTACATGAAAACATTTTTATTCAGTATCATTGTCAATGTCATGTTTTAAATTCAGCAATAGTTCATTAACTTACCTTATAGAATGCAATTCTTTGCTTTTGCAGAGTATTTGTTTACTCAAAATGTATTACTGTTACACTTAAAGTACACTTAAAAGTGTACTAAAAAGTGGGACGATTTAGTATGAAGTATTGAAATAGTACACATTCAAGTATATACTTATAGAACTATTAGTATACTTACTACATAAAGTTATTTGGATAATTGAAAAAAATATACTTGAATTTTACTTACGTTTACTCAATAAAATTAATTTGAAGTATACTTCTTATTTTTTTTGTAAGGGTCCTATAACTTCTAAGTGATCAGATTTATTTTCACTTGGCAGATGTTAAGACAGTTGACAAATCTCCCATAGGTTTACACTAAAGAAGGGATCCGAGTCATCTAGTAATTGCACAGCAATTCACTAACAACAATTCAAAATGCCACAGCATTGTGGCAGTGATTTGTTTTACAATTTCGTTTCTATGAACAGGTTTTTATTCTAACAGCTTTTTTTCCCCTTATATTCTTAGCTATAATATAAAAAGGGTACACTTATTTCTTGCATACTACTCTTTCAGTTTTATAAACATTTAATTTGGAGGAAATTCCACTAATTTCCAAGTATTCCAAACACAGGCTCATTAATTGACATCTCTTGCCTGATTTACTCTACAATTATCATGTTCAACACTCTTTCACTCCAATCGTAAGCATTTCTTTCTGCAAATCAGCAACTTACTGTTCGTTTTCATTGTAAAGTTTTCCAATGGCCCAAGCTATAATTATCGGACATGGTATACCTGAAAGAGGGAAGAATGCATGCGTTGGCAAATCACACTTTACAAACAGCAACTGCAAAAACATGGGAATTAAACATTGTTTTCCCAACAGGTGATTACCTATTGAAAAGCTGTGCCATTTTTGTGTACAATATTTCAGTGCAAAAAGCTTTTTATACATCAACCACCCACAACTTAATCAGGCACTAAATGCACTGAACCTGTGCTGTGGGAAGTTTGTGTGATTTTTCAAATATGCACCTCATTCCCAAATGTCAGCATTATTTGCCTGCCGCAATTAACACTGAGCTATTACTGCCCACAGAAAGATGGGTGAACAGAAATGAAAAGGATATGTATGTGCATTTTCTTTTGATCATGGCATTCGTCAAAAGATGATCAAACGACAGAAGAAGAGTGTTCAAATCGGGCACATTCTTACATTCGAAAACTGAGAATTGCATACTGCTGATTACATGTAATGCTAATTTTTGGGCTTATTTAGGTCAATATCCAATGTATAGTAAACTTGCACAGCACATGCAAATAAACCATGCTATCAGTGTGCACAATTCCTCCTGTATTTTAATGAACGCTGTAGAACGAGGATGCAACCATACTAAACAAAAGCATTCTCTGAAGTGTTTGATCACACATTCTGTAGGTCAGTCTTATTTCAGCAAAGCCATGCTAAACAATGGGTTGTATTGTGTGTAATGCTTTAGAGGCCAATGATTTCTTCACCTAAATGAGCAGGGAACAAGAAATCATGAATCTTTTAGGAAGTCGCATGGAGGAGCCATTAAACGTCTCTACTGGGATTGCTGAAAGACAGCAAGAAAAAGCAGAATTTCTAAACTACACGGCTAAATTTGTTCAACGATGATAAGCAGACTGCTAACAGAACACATCAGACATTGAGCCAGAAATATTGTCACAAATTACTTGAGTCTACTTAATCAAATATATTCATATTGTAATATGCAGCTGATGCCAATAACTCAGATCTCCACAACCGTACTGAGCTTTTTAATTGCTTTCACTTGTATCACACAGCCGGTCCATTTCTACCTCAGTAATTCAGTCAATATGCACATCACCGTTCAAATGTTTGGGATCAGTAATATATTTAATGTTTTTTAAGAAGTGTCTTATGCTCATCAAGGCTGGGTTTATTTGGTTAAAAATACAGTTAAAACGGTAATACTGTGAAATTTTATTGCAATTTAAAATAATGGTTTTCTATTTTAATATTCTTTAAGATATAATTTATTCCTGTGATGCAAAGCTAAATTTTCATCAGCATCATTACTTCAGTCTTCAGTGTCTCATGATCCTTCAGAATATGCTGATTTATTATCAATGTTGGAAACAGTTGTGCTGCTTAATATTTTTTGGAACCTGTGATACTTTTTTCAGGATTCTTTGACGAATTAAAAATTAAACAGAACTGCATTTATTCAAAATAGAAATCTTTTGCAACAATACAAGTCTTTACTATTGTCACGCCCCTGGACTCTTTGTGTTGTGTTTTCCCTCCCCAGGTGTGCTGTGTTCCCTTTAATTAGTCATTCCTTGCACCTGTGTTTTCCCAATCACCCAGTGTTTTAAAGCCCCAGTCCTCTCAGTTAGTGTTTGTCGGTCCTCGAACGTCATTCCATGTGTTCCTGTGTCTCCTACGGTTCCCCGTGTGATCATTAAAGACTGTGAATTGAAGTATCTCCGTGTTTCCTCGTTCCTCGCTCCTTGCCTCCCGAGAATTGTGACAACTATCACTTTTTATCAATTTAACACATCCTTTAACATATCCAAACTTTTGAACAGCAGTGTATATTTTTACAAAAGACTTCTATTTATTTATACTAGCATTACAGTAACCAATACTATAATATGTGTTTATTAACATGCTGTTTATTAAAATCACTTCAAAATCAAAGTCTTGTTGCTTATGCATTTTGAAACATTTTCATATTACTTAAAAAATAATAATACAATAGCCACAAATATTTTTTGTTACTACAAACTGTTGTTCGTTAATATCAAACAGGGTATTATTATTAATAGTCACCTTCCATTCTGAACATTAGTCAAGAAGTATTCAGTAAACACATGATGATCATGATGATCACAGCTTTGATTCATCAGAGCTGAGCGCTCTACAAAACAGCTCACTCACAGAGAATTTCATGTTTTAAGTTTTTCAAATTTAATTTAATTTGGATGTGACCGAAAATTATAGTCTGAGTGGGTGAGTTGTTTGCTTTGTAATTAGTCCCTCCATTTCCACTAATTTGTTTGACTGATTCATGGCAATTTACAAACTTGATAGGCAGGCATTATGACACATACAGGTTAATGAGCCAATCATAGCATAATGGAAACATTGCCTCCTCTCATGACTTTTTGCCTTTATGTAGCAGCTCCTCCCTCACATTCAAACCATGCTACAGGAGCTATACCGCAATACTGTTGTTGTGTTGTCTTGTTTTGTTTTGTTTTTTTCAAATTGACTCCTGAAAAATGCAGATAGCGACAACCGCATTTGCAGAAATTCTATGTAGTGTATACAGAACAAAACTGAACAACTTGTTGTTAATTATGTATTTAAACATCATGTATCAGAATTGTGATGCAAGAAATCACAGGGAAGGGGGTACAGCTTCACTCAGTGTTGCCAGATCTTAACATAAAAAAGGCAAATGGGAACAAGCCTTTAATAAACTCCAATAAAAATCCAAACGTGTTATACGTGAAATAAGCCACGTACCAAAATATTGTGTCCTGCACCTGCCAATTTTATTATCATCATAAAATGGATCGCTATATGAGCCGAGCCCAAACAACAAGCTCAAAGACACTTAATAAATGTCATTTATAAACAGTGGACATGGCAACCCTTCAAAAGCATACTCTGTGAAGCAGCCTTCTAAGCATAAACAAAACACGATGGCTCTGTCTGCTATGGTTACAACGGTGTCAATCATCACAGTTTCAAGAGTGAGTTCTGTTCCATTCACACACTAAACTGTATTTTGGGGATTCACTCCCATATTTAAATACGGTTGTCACTCCTGAAAATGTACAGTGTGTACATGGCCTGAATGTGCTTAACTGCATTGGTGGACTGCTGCCTACAGACAGCTCCCAGAATCCTCTAGTTTCACACAAAGACTGAGAACGCTGTGAATGTCAAATATCAAACAGTTTACTTAAGTCCTTGGAATGGCATTTAGCCTTCTCAGTAATACATGCTAACAAATACTATGTGGTACACTTCACAATAATCTGTACTTTAAATACTTTATACCATTTAATTATATTAGTGCCAGAATCTTTTAAGTACTCAGTGACTGGACAACATTATTGTTTAACTAATGCAATTGCATGCCATCTGTTATTTACAATAAAATTATCTCATTTTTAAAATGGTAACGTTGCCACCTTGCAGTTGTTTTGGGTTGTGTTGTGTTGTGTTGTGCTTCTAATTATAAAGAGCTTAGATGTTTAAAATGTCATATTGCATATAATAAAATTATAAAACATGTAATCAAAAATGGAAACATTTTATAATTACCATGACCTGTATGACAGCACTAAATTGACATTTCAGCTCGGTGCAAATGATGGCAGAAATGTCATTTTTTGGGTGAACTATCCCTTTAAGCCTAGATGCCAGCGGTTGAAATGACTCTTGCGGTTTATCTCTTACCATCTTCAGCTCCTTCTTGGAAATTGCAGCCTTGCATGACAACCTCAAACCTGGGTGCATTTCCCATACAAAGACGTAACTCTCTGATTAACCACCATTGTACAATGCATTGTTGTGGAAACCAACTAGCTAGTCACGACTGTTTCTCAAACACGGTCACATCTCTGTCGTTTGAACCATATTAGTTCAACAATATAGGGCCGTTGTTAATGGCGTCACACGCATGTGATGGAGCAATAACTTCTGCTAATTAATTGAGTCAAGATCTCCGAGATGCTGCTGTATTGATCATGGCACCTGATGATTTACTTATTTTTGTTCCTGTCATTTTGCTTTATTCAATGTTTGATTAATCAGGGGTTCCCTCTTACGTCATACTCTGGGGTTCCCTTAAGCATTTATGAACATGCGCACTCTTTAAAAACTGTGCTTATTGAGGATGCACTAAAATATATAGATTAGATTGTATATATTTAAATACAATGGAACATATATGTTGTACTGCATGTTAGCTTGCTTATTGTGCCCATGAGCATAATTCATATGTCTTACTAACAAGAAACTATGCTTCTAAGCACAGGTTGAGAGTTGTAGTTCCAAAAACGCAAGTTTACGATGCTGTTTGAGAACGTTCGTTTGAACTATGGTTTCGGGAAACAACGAATCATGGAACTATGTTAGTAACAATGGAACTATAGTGACCATAGTTAGCTAATGATTCTTTTGGGAAACACACCCCAGATTCAATGTGCCTGATGTGACAGTACCAGCCTAATCTCCCTCAAATATATAGTTGAAGGATATGTTCTGGCTTGACTTCTGAGGCAGTCAAAGAGCTTAGAAAAGTGACTGATTTGGCACCTTGTGCCACCAGACATTCAGCTTGTGAGATCGGCCACGTCATAGCAAGGTTTGCTGAAATACGCTCCTGAATTTTGATTTATCACATAAACTGCTTTCGCAAACTGCTTCTAGGCCGTTCGCCGATCCAGATGAAACCATTTCGATAATAACCTATTTGCTCTACTTCTTAGAAGATGTTGAAAATGTTACAATTTTTTGATTCTGTGTCAAAAAAAATCCCATCAAAAATGGGGATAGTAAGTTTTTGCGTGCTCATTAATAATTTGACACTTATGTAAAGGGCTCAGTCTGAGGACAGAAAAAAATTGCAGGCTTTTTCACTATCAGGCCAACAGTTAAAAGTAGGGTAGGGGATTTCGGAGAGGCTGGCAATAGCAAGCTAGCTTTGAAAGCATAAGATCCCACCCTCCCTGCAAATCACTCTCCAAAGCCACGCCTCCTCCAAATCATATGAATGCACACAGGCAGAGCAGAGGCTAACCAGCGACACGATGAGAGACAGCGCTGGTGGAGGTTTGAATGCAACGCTGTCAGATTAGCTCATGTCTCATTCACCGGTGAGAAAACATTACAGTACAAACGCATAATATTACAATAATAACGTCTTCCATTCTCGCTCGGTCTGCAATAGAGTAATAGAACGTGCTGATGATGTACAGTATCATGTCTGCGAACAGGGTGCATGAAGGTATTCAAATATATATGTTGACAGGCAGGCAGGACAGCCTATCAGAGCCCTCGGACCGAGGGATATGATTGGACGAACATTTTATGGTCCTACGCCTTCCACAGATGATATAAATGCATATAAATACATCTAGACCACTTAACTTAGTGATTGCTATCAGGATGTGAAGAGACTCTCAACCAGCATAACAAAAAATGAACCAAATCACCTACCCTGCCTTTAACTGCGTTAGCAGCTATATGTTAGCTTAAACTGTTAGCATGCTAACTAATGCTTTTGTGTGGCACACTAAGCAGCAAGCACCTAAAGTACCTTCGCAATGTTCAAATGCTTTGTGATATGTCATGTATGGTACATGTATTATACTTTTATATTTTTTCATTCTTGCATTGAATCTTATGAATCTGATCTTGAAGTTTAAGTGTTCTGATCTTGTGTGCTGCAACATCTGTACCATTTATTTTTCAGCTCTGTATGTCACTTAATATTATCTTATTTTTTGTTGTTTACGTATTTATTTTTTTATTGGCATGATGTATGACTATGACCTGGGAATGTTTTTGACAGGTTTCACAAAATTCATAGGAATCACGTGAAAGACAGTAATGTTCCAAATAATCTAAAATGAATAGCAGACTACATTTCAGCTTTCTTATTCACAGTCAATGCAAATTGCAGATGGTTAGGCCTTTCAAAATAAGCAGACTTGTGTAGAGAAATCAACTCACACCATCCAATGAAGAGGAAGACCCATTTTCGAAGCTTGTCTGTGGAATATGTCATCACAATAGCCGTGTGAAGATAGCAGCCCTCCACAAACATCCAGAAAAAATTGGTCACCACAAAGTAATTATAGATTGTTGTTATAAGACGACACCAGGGCTGTACGGCGAGAAAAGAACAGGGTGTTAATTGAGGTTAACATTTGAATGTTTTACAACACTGCAAAGCTTTTACAGACTTGATACTAAAATTAAACCTATTATAGGTCTTAAAACAACCTCACGTCCCAGGTTTTTCAAACATTTTATGTGTTTTATAAGGTGCTATACTGCAACTTGAACTCATTGGGGGAAAAAAACATCTACCAAATGTGCTTTTTGACTGTACACTCTCAGAAAAAGGTACAAACTGTCACTGATGCAGTACCGTAAGGTACAAAAACTTACAAAGAGGTACATCTTTGCACCTTATTTACCCCCAAGTGGTATGTATTAGTACCTAAAGTGTACATTTTGAAATGGTATTCGTCAAGGCTATTCATTCTTCGTCTTTTGCATAAGAAAACACTCCTCTCATGTCACTCTCAATAAACACATTGTTCCTTAGTTCTTCAGAAAAGCTTTTGACTAAAGTCATTTTTTAGCATTGTATGTTGTAAACATTGCAAAATGAAGTACTTTTGATCTCTTCACTGTCAATTACTTTGTCAAGTTTGATATAAAAATGCTGGAAGTCTCTAATGAGGCACTAGATACCAGCAGACAAAAATATCACTAGAGTGTTTTTCCAGAGAGAAAAACAGTACTACCCCATGCAATTCCTTCAGTATTACAGTAATACAGAAAACAATACTGGCGAGGAATCGTTGGTCAACACTACACATGTAAATGATAGAAACCTGCTGATGGGTTTACATACTAATAGGCTGATAAGTAAGTTTAGAAGTGTTTCATACCTCATTCGTCTCATAAATGTTTTGGTCAATCAGCTGAAGCAAAAACCACATTACATTCCTCAGAATGAAAGTCGTAATTAAGTTCCAGTGGATTATGTTGCGAAGGCATCGGATGCTCCTTGAATTTAAAATAAGAAATCAGACATTTTGGATTTTGAGAAGTGTGTGCTTTTGAATTCATAAGAAATTCATGTGATCATTACCAAAATGGGTCAACATCATGCCAAGACACTGAGTATGCTAAATTGTGAACAGTTTTTTCAAGTTTTTTTTGTCGTGGCAAGGCGATACATTTATGGCGAAAAAAGGAAATAGGAAGCCTCATATCTTCTGTGTGCTTAGGCCCATCATCTCTGCTTGCAGCTATACTTGTTTTTTTGTTTGTTTATTTTTTTACTAATGAAATATTATCAATAATCCTTTGGACATCACTAAAGACAAACTTTCTCAAAATCTACCCTGCTAAATTAAAATCGAAATACATCTGTGAAAAAGTCCATACCATTTCTCACTCCCAAGGCAACAAAACAGAAGGACTTCTATGTTAATTTAGATTTGCTATGTATTTAATAATAATTATATTCAGCAAAGAAAGAAAGAAATAGAAATAGAAATAATATAAAGTTCAGGCTTAGAGCACATTCACCCACCTTCTCCTCTAAAATGGGCTCACAGTTGGAGTAGTTACTTTTCAGTGCCCATGTGCCATTGTCCAAGCACTCTCTGTAAGCAATTCCTGCAGAGAAGAGAATGAAAGCAGAAGTTCATAAGTCAGTGTAGTTCTTAAAGCCCAAAAAGGCTTTTTTATAGTCATTGCACATCTGAAATACTTTATTGTTCTCTGGTCATAATAAGGTCAAATTCACAAGTTAAAATAAATTGGTAATCAAGAACTTCTTTGAAGAAAATGTCTTAACTCAGGAACTTGCTGAATGCACATGCATAATATAAAACAGCTTGCTGCACTGACTCATTTAAAGTTCTACCCTATTTCAAGGGCTGCTGGCTCTATCTAGAGTAAAGCTTCCAGTTAAGAGTTCACCTGTTTGATATGTTGTTTTCCATTTGGGTATTTGAACATGTAATATTCAAATGCACAGAAGGATTTACTTTTTTCTTATTCCTAGGTGTTCCTTTGCATATCAGAAAATCCAGCGTGCTTAAATTGTCTTGCTTTGCACTGGTCTTTTCACTCTTTTTTCCCATTTCATGAACAATTCTTATCTCTTTTCCAAGCTGCACTTCTGAACGTAATAAATTAAGATTTTTCAAAATCCTTTTAATATGTTCTGTTAATGTTATTAGGGCCATTTTATTAGAGGCTTCAGAATTCAAAAGGACTCAGCTGGTTTTATCCATACTGAATGAAGTCACGGTTTAATAATCAAACACTGAAAGTACACAGGACCCTTTTATTTTCCCAAGGATTATTATGATTATTTATTTATATTATTATAAGTTTTGGGGGCTTTTGCGGCCCTTAACATTCTCAAAACGTCAAAATTTGTGTACACACCAGAATCATCAGGCATTAGGCCCACGCAAAAGCTTTTAAAAACTTTAAAATACTACCCCTAGAGGATTCATAAGATCGTCACCAAACTTGGTCAGCATGATGCTAAGACATTGAGCATGCTAAGATGCAAACATATTTTTGATATCTCGAATGATTTCACCATGGCGAGGCAATACATTTATGGCAAAATCATTGGGTAATGTAGTGCCAAAGACAGATCAATTTTCAGAACCAATTTTTTTGCTGTATGTGGTGTTCCTAGTGCTGTCGCTGTAATGGTATTGGTAGACTGTACTCCTGGAAAATAAGATCACAGATGATATGGATGGTAAAGCTAAGATATCATTCTGATTTAAAAGTAAAAGAGATAAAAGTGTAACTGGGCATTAATCCAAGTAATTATTGAAAACTCTAACAATATGGATCATAAATTCAGTATTTCTGTCACTTGATTACACTTACATGTTCTGTAAGGAAAAACAAAAAACTGAAAAAAGGAGCCAGTGACAATTTAAAAGTTCAAATTTACAGAAACTGAATAAGGATATCAAGTATCTGTTGAGAGTATGTTGACAGTCTGTGCAGTTGAATGGCAGAGCTCCACAAAATGAATAGCGAGTTGGCATTGAAAGAATTTACAGAAAAACAAATACTGCAAGTGGTTGCTTCAATCACTGATATCTGATGTAAGCCTATTAAAAGGTATTAAGATCCCATCACAAGTGGACAATGCTAAATACAGGTGTGAATGGGGTGTAAAATGTTTTGAGCTTCTCTACTTTCGACCCCTTCCAGAGGTAGTGGAAAATGCATTTGATTGGACTGCTCCCATAGTGTGGATGCTCATGTGGTCGAATGCATTCGAACAGACACTGAAGACCACCTGACCGGACATGTAATCATTGTGGGACGTGTTGTTGGGAATCGTGCTAGTCAGACAGGATTTAAACTTTTTTTGAAAACAGCTGAAATATACGAAACCGTTTCAGCCATTGGTCATTAGTAAACGTACCGAGCACAATATTCTTCCACCAGTCCTGACTTCTAGCGTGAACCCAAAGCGTTTTGCGGAGGTCTTGAGGTTATCATTGCAGAAACGAAAGTGGCCGCTCGCCTTGTCTTTTTCTGTCGTCTCATTTTGCGAGCATATGAACTTTGTGTGAGCTTATTTCGTCCGCTGGATCAAAATAGCTGAAAAAGCCCATACATATACATGTACACAACTTTCTGCAGCATCTTTCTTCACTAACACCACAGGCAGCAGAAAACTGACATAATATTAATGCGCATCGACATTCAACCCTCCCCCTGGTGTACCCGCCCATAGACCTTTCCCTCAAAGAAATCAGGACAGAAGTGGTCGAAAGTGGACAAGAGAGATGGATTAAAACACCAGGTGTGAACGGGAATGTGTCTCGTCTCCCTGTGTATATGCATTTTAAACACATTATGTTATTTCTCCACCCATGCAATAAATGCAGGTCCCCGAATGAGCGTGGTTTTATAGTGTGATTAATTTAACTGCTCAGGTAATGTTAATTGTATGACCCATTTCAGGGGTGGCCAAAATTACGATTTAAAATCAGTCAGAGCTAATGTATCTTCATATTTTTTTTTTATATATATTATGAGTAGACTACTTTCTACTCAAAGCAGAGCAGTCCTGTATCACTCTATAGGTTTTTTTTTGTTGTTGTTGCAATAATTACCATATTACATGGTTTATTACATGGCTACTTGCCACATAAGTAAATATTTTGGTAAAAAACGCATACGCAGTTTGGTTGATATAATCCGTGTGTAAATTTCCTTTTCATTATTTTTTTTCTCATTTTCATTTAAATTTGTAGTTAAAATAACTCAAATAAGTGTATTTTAAAGTTTAGAATTAGACAGCCTTTGGCACACAGGCTTACGCTGGTAACTCATCACAGTCATCAGTGGACTTTTCTCCTCAATATTGGCTATACTTTTTCACACTTTTCTCATTCTCACTAATTCAAAAAACTTTCCATGACCTTTTCATTATATCTGATAAATTAGCGTTTATGAGCGCAGCGCTGCTTTGTTTACAGTCGTTACCGGGGAAACCGCTGTATTTCTGATGTTCCAAAAGCGCTTCCTGCTGGCAGAGAATCAATGTGCATTTTCAATAATCACGTCTGCAGTTTTTGTTCAGACCAATGTGAAAATCCACCCACATAACCCCGTTTTAAATTAATATCATAATTTATACTTCCGACTCATCTCTTTTTAAAAAAATAGTTTAAAGGCTCAATTGCGAGGTTTATCATTTTATAATTTATTTTGTTTTTGTGAAAACTGTAAATCAGTTGCTATTTCGTGGTCTACAACATGAAAGAAAGCCATTATAACATGTACATGAAAATGTAGAAACATTGGACACAACTGTGGGGCACCATCATGCAGCAGCAAGCATCACAACAAAAAAGGAACCTCAAGGCTAAATTTGTAAATGTGTGCAAATGCATAGGACCCCATTCATATATTTTGCCTGGGGCCCTCAAACCACTAAATCTGCCCCTGATCACAAGAACGCAAAATGTGGCTTTACTGTATAAATAGCATGCTGAATAGAGGTGAAATGACGAGACAGGAGAGAATAATGCCATCATGTTCTCAATCACAACAGTTCCACAAATCTAATGTTTTCATCACTGCATCAACAAAACAACCCACTATGTGTTATTTATTTTTGGAAGTTTGAAAAGTATAAACAGCAATCTTGGGAGTGTTAATTATTCTTTAATTTAGCTCTAGTTGACTTTGTAGTGTTTTATCATTTTTGGCATGTTCCAGCATGCATCATTTTAGCTTATTTTAGCACTGAAGCATGTTAAGATCCTTCCTTTATCAACATCACGAGAAAGTTATTTTGTAAATTAAAATCGAATTATTTAAAATGAAAATGTATCTTCAAAGTTAACTTGTAATATTCATGCAATTAAATCATCATTGACCCTGAACAATACTAAAATAAACTGGTGGTCAGATAAAAAATTCCAGGAAGACTTATAAAACAAGGGGCTTGATTCTCCACTTTCTCCATCTGAAGCAATTAGCATTATCAACTTTTTCCCCCATGATACCCACTAGACAACAGTAGTCTTTTTTTCCCCAAGATTTTCAAAAACCCATCTGGATCATATCCGCCTTGTTATCCTATTGTTTGTCTGTGTATATTGCCCTATGTTTGAGTCTTTGGATGTCGGTTTTTGTCTTTACTAGTTTTGGTAAAGCTGTTGCGTTTTTGGATTCTTGTTGGATTATTCTCTTCCCTATTTGGATTTATGTTACATGTTTGTATTCTTATCACCTGCCATATCTGTTTGGATTATCATCACTAGTATTTCAAATGCCTTCCTCATCCCTGCTACGTGTTAAGAGCGCAATGGAGGCATTGCCTCTCACCTGTCTTTCCCTCATTCATTCTTAATTACCCCCACCAAACCCACCGCATGCTTTAGGGCAGTGAATCGCAACCTTTTTGAGTACCGGACCCCAGTCCAATTCAGAACCATCCTCAAGGACACCCAGAACAAAATTGACTCATTAGTATCATGTATGTCTTTGTGAGGAGTGGGGACCAAATGCAATCAAGTATAATTCAAGTTAGTTGACTTGTCCAGTATTTGGCCATATCATCAACTATATTAGATTTTTTTAATGGGAACATGCCATGTCAAAATATACAAAAATTCATACTTTATACAGACCCCCTGGCATTACGTCAAGGACCACAAGGTTTCACGCAGCCCTGGTTAAGAAACTCAATGGGCTCAGGGGAGGCAAGAGAGCCATGGCCCATTTAACTTTACCCACTGGTTTCACTGATGGACAGTGTTACTTTAGAAAAATTATTGACTTATACACTTTTTAATGTCATATATTGTGATACTTGTGTTGTTTTATTATTGTACTATGGATTCTTTTCTTGCCTCCTTGAAGGAAACACACCTGCTGCAGGTTAAAATACAAAGGTAACACTTTATTTCGATAGTCCACTTTAGACATTCTATTAACAGTAAGTAACTTTGCAACTACATGTCAACTAGCAGTTAGTAGAGTATTAGTAGACTGTCTGCTTAATATCTTCTAACACTTTCTTTGTCAACATTCTACTAACCCTAAACCTACCCTGTCTACTCTGAGTTAGTAGACATGTAGTTGCAAATTAATTAGAATTAGTTGACATGTAG